TCCGCTACAGAAGTAGTGGTCTGCGTCCTGCTGATCCAGTACTCTTCTATTCATTAATAGTAGTCTGTGCCAAAGGTTCAGCGTACTGGCGTTGTCTGTAATGCATGGGATGGCATTAAAAGTTGATTTAAAAACTAGAATTTAGCTCTTGTAATCTGTCTTTCAAAACCTGAATGAAATCCCACTAAATCAATCATTAAAAGCACTGCAAAGAATGCAGACTGTGCCATGAAACTTCTGGCAGATACTTGACTTGATACATATGTAAAATCAATCATCCTCTCTGGGAGCATCACCTTGACTTGCCAAATAATGTTGCCTAATGATTTCTCCTTAGGGGGTGTATAAAGTGGGCATTCAAAACAGCAGGATGGGGATTGCACTGTTAACTGTGAATTACTCGTGTTTCCTTTGTAATTTTTTTTTCATGCCCTTGTGGTTTTTCTTTTTTGGTTACGGTTTTGTTTATAGATAATGTGTCTGAAATTTTTTAAATGTCTTGGTGTTCTTTCTGTGGAGTCATTTGTAAATATAATGGTATTTATTTCACCTTTTAGCTCTCGAGCACATTCTCCAATGATAGCTGTAGGAAGTGATGACAACAGTCCAAATATATTGGCTAAGGTTCAAATTTATGAATATAATGAAAATACCAGGTATGCTAAATGACAATATATCATTTGGGGGATCTTAAAGTAGTGTGTAATATATGGCCTTTTCTATTATTCCTGTCATTAGATGTGGGGTAGTTAATAATAATACTTTAATTCTGCCTCTAAGCCACCGGATGGCAAAGGAGGCGGGGGACCTCAGGATGGTAACTGATGTTAACAGACATGATATCGATAATTTTGTTCTATCTCAGTGCAGAAATGCCAGTGTTCTTACCAGCAATTTTAAGGGAGAATTCTTTCTGCTTCTAATAATTTATAAGCTGAATTTTGTGCAAGGAATTAGTAGGGCAAAGTTGAAATTGGAATTATGTTGCACTAGGCACTGTTTTCTTCAACGTGACCTTAAAATGCTTTTAAAAGCATGCTTGTCATGACAGAAAGTCCTGCGAATTACTAGCATTCTGTGAAAGTTCAGTTTGTATGGTTAAGAATTTGGAACCAGAAAAGGCCACGAAGTGTGTGTGCAACTGCTTTCAATTAAATGATGACAGAGAATGTGTGTTTCATTCAGGGTGATGGACGTGGGAAGGGAGCCAAGGTGTTTTGTGGCTTCAGACAATGTTCTCTCTGCACTAGCAGTAAAGAAAAGTTGTTGTAACTTACCTGGTTGGTAAATAAGAAAATGGAATACACGTTTATCATACAGCAGAGTAGGCAGATAGTGGTCTGCTTACAAGCACAGAAAATTTAGTAAGTTACTGAGATGCAAATTCCCTTTAGATTTGTGAGTGGAAGAATCTTTTTATTTCCCTTTTCCAATTGTGGACAAACACATTCTTTGTACTGGAATTCCTGCTCTGTTGTATGATTTTATGTACTGTTGTTAGTAGTTACCGTCTCTGATGTATTAAATTTCTGAAGAAATCAGCTTGTAATTGTTACTTACAATTAAGTTTATATTAAGAAAACGATTTTATTTTTGTAAGTCTCATCATGTATCCCAACCCCTTTTTCTCTGTTTTACATAATTTGCATCACTGGCAATTTTGATGGCACTAAAGGTTAATTTCTTACTCTGTACAGGAAATATGCAAAAGCAGAAGCTCTGATGACAGTCACAGATCCTGTACACGATATTGCATTTGCTCCAAATCTGGGGAGATCCTTCCATATCTTAGCTGTAGCAACCAAAGATGTACGAATTTTCACACTAAAACCTCTAAGGTGAGCTTAAAAGGAAGATAGTTTTGTGTGATGTGGTACATACTGTATAGTCTTTATTTTAATAGTATCTGCAAAGCAAAAGTAGGAATTTAATGTATGCAGGATTGTTTTTTAGCAGCCTGATTTTTAAGATGACAAGATTGTGAGCAAGACTAAAATTGTGTCTGAGTACCTCTTAATATTCCTAGTAACAATTGTTATATGAACTCCTTGAAAGATGCAGTCCTCTCTGTCATCATGTTCAAGCCCAGACCTTTAAGCAGTTGTGTGCAGAACTGTCACTTTTCTCTTCGACAGGAAAGAATTGACTTCATCTGGAGGTTTAACGAAATTTGAAATTCATATTGTGGCACAGTTTGATAATCACAACTCCCAGGTGTGGCGAGTGAGCTGGAATATTACAGGCACAGTGCTTGCCTCTTCTGGAGATGATGGCTGCGTTAGGCTCTGGAAGGGTAAGGTCACCACCATGAAATACATTAGCTTTCTAGTTTGCTGAAAATACTTGAGAAATTTTACTCAAAAAATAATTTTGGAGTGAAAGTTCATTTTAGATTTGTGAATGATTGATTTTTATATTTCAGTTTACATTTCAGAACAAGGAAATAACTTTCTGTGCTGGAACACTCACATGATTTAGGCTGCTGTGAATAGTTGTTACTGTACCCTCAAATTGTGTGACCAGACTAGAGCTATGTAAAGCTGTGTTGTGGTTTAACCACAGCCAGCAACTAAGCACCACGCAGCCGCTCGCTCACTCCCCCATGGTGGGATGGGGGAGAGAGTCAGTAGGGTAAAAGTGAGAAAACTCTTGGGCTGAGATAATGACAGGTTAATAGGGAAAAGCAGAGCAAAACAAGGAATTCATTCAC